ACCAAAGCCCTGACACCTAAAAGACACTCAGAATTTCTGAGTGTTTAGAGTTTCACAGATCTTTTTTTCCCCTTTAGATAGAGACAGATCCTTCCATCAAACATTTCAACCAAACCTATCATGGAGTGGAGAAGGATTGATTTGGGTAAAAGTTTGGATTATTATTTCGGTTAGGTTTAGAATACTTCCTCTGAGAAGAAGGAATGTCAATATAAAGTAATTAAAAGTATTAATGCTTGAATTTTTTAAAGTTAGACTGCAGACTTTTTTTTCTCAGTACACAAGTATACCCTGAGCCCACGTTTTAATCACATTAACAAAGTCTAGTTGTGTGGACTATCACAGGCTTTGGATTTAAAGTCTATTAATTTCCTCGAAACCCCTGCATCAGCAAAGCATTTTAATTTACTTCACAATTAGCAGAGCTTCATTTCATTAATGGCAAAATTTAAAGGAAAAACAACAGCCTACTAATAAAAAAAATAACCTGTTTCTCTTTCACAACCCGCCTCATCAGTTTCCCTTCATGACTATTTCCTTCATGACTTCTCAGGCCCTGCAGCTAAACTAATTTCTTAAGTAATTCCCTGCTTTGGTTCCTACAAAAAACGTGTTTTAAGTGGTGTTGTTGTTGTTGCTGTTATATAGTTTTTCCTGCTTCCTAAACACCAGCAGTGAAAATGAGGAGAGGTATGATTCTTTTTTTTTTATTGCCCTTTCACGTGGAGTCCTCCGAGACTCAACTTGACAGCAAAGCAGAGGGGAAAAAGCAAGAGGAAGTATTTGTAGGATGTGAGAAAAAGATGAGTAAAGCAGGGAGAGGAAGAGGAAATGTGATAAAGAAAGAAAAATCAAGGAATTCAACCTCTTTTTCTATTATACCTTTTATTCAGAGCAATTCGGTAGAGGTGCTCAATGACCCAGGTGTTTTTTGATTAAAGCAGCAGCAATGGAGCATTGAGTGCCTTTTAATAGCCAAATGATCACATCTTGTCATGTGCTAGAGGGGCTGTGACAAGTCGACTTGAAAACAGAAGTCATAGAAAACTTGGTAAAGTTGTGGAGACTGGCGTATAATGGGCCAAGGACTGCCCAGAGTTGTATTTTATTTTGATGTTGTTTGCACTCAAATCTGTTTACTGCAGTTGGTAAAACACTAGAGTTAGTTCGAGTGTGATTTAATACTTCAACATACTTAAAAGTTTTATGTATCACATCAGAACAGCACAGCTGTATGGTATTTGGCACAGTGTGTTGTCGAGTGTCGGTTAGTTTGTTGGATATTTATTTGCTTGTAAGGTTGCGCGCGTCTTTAATTACTCACCTGGAGCTGTTGGGCCTCGTGGTTCTCCAGTCCCTCTACAATTGGAGCAAACCTCTCTTTGTTGTTCCTCTCTGCAACAATTGTCATGGCAGCCAAAATCTTATCCAGGCTGGAGAGAACAAAAAATAAATAAAGTGCAGGGAGCAGGCAAACACAAAAGTCAACAAACACTTTTATCACCTAACTGGCGGCACATTTATTCACAATTTGAAGCTCAAACACCATGTATCTTATCTTCCCTTGTGTGTTGGTGGGGACATTTTCTCAGCCAAGTCTTTGGCCACTTTGACAAACTGATTTCCATCTCTTTGTATGAAATCTACTCTATTATTGCAGCAGTATCCAATTTTGACTTTATCTAGCAGTTGCTAAGGTGAAGTTTGACAAAAACAGGGTTTTGAAACAAATGTGTGTTTTAGTAAAAAGGCATGCAGCAAATTGCATTTGGCTGACTAATGTTCAAACACACCTATAAGGAGCTAAACAAATAAGAGTACTTATGAGGACTTAAAGATGTGCAGCTTAGAGTATCATACAAATTACCACCTAGATTGTCAATGAACAACTCTCCCTTTGTTGCAAACACACAAATAACCAGAGTAAATTGGTTTCTGAAGTGATATGTGAAGTGATTTTGTGCATTACAAGTAATAAACGTGTTTGTTGTGACAGAAAAGTGACATGAAAAGGCTTCCCCATCACTGATCCAACAAATAATTTAAGAAATTGTCAAATTATACCAAACACTGAAATGTCTATCAGATCTGTGTAAAATCTCATGTCAGATACACTTTCCATTCTCTTTTTTACTACTTTGTAATTAACAGCTGATTAGCAGGTACATAAGCGTGCGTCTGACCAACAGGAATGTACGTGTAGAGGAAGCCTGACATAGAGATAAATGGAACGACCGTGCTCTTTGATAGGCAGTACAAAGTCACAGAAAAACACGGAGAGCTGCATACTGAGTAGCTTTAAAGCCAGTTCAGACGAAGCTACAAAACAGGGAAGATAGATCTGCTTAACTTGTCGTGTTCTCTTTTGATGCTGTCAGCCGAAGTGGGTGCTGAACATGAGTCAGAGTCACAACACTGGTTGGCGGAGAAATTTCGAAGCCCAAAAAAAAAAAAAAAAGTAAAAAAGTGACACCTCAGCTCCTTTGGCTGTCATTTCTACAGGATCCGGACATTTTAATGCAAGGCTATGATCATTGCTAAGATCTTGTTGTTTACTTTAACCTATTTTTGAATTATTTGAGTGACAAGACTGAAAAAAACTGACACCAAGTGAAACAAAGACAGAGATTCTATCTACACAAGCACTATATGCTTTTTATAGTAGTAGTGAAGTGAAGGCTGAACGGAACATGACTAATCACTCATTTACTGCATTAGCGTGCTCATTACATAATGATTTGAGTGCATCTACCTGCAAAAGTCATTAAATGAGAGCTCAGTTCCACAGTGATCACTTAGCTCATTCTAGCTGTGATGTATATTTTTATCAGAACACTTTGACTCAACCTAACTATGGCACTATTAGTGAATTAACCTATTAAAATAAAACATTGCTTTGCGATCTGCAAACTGTTAAAGCTGCAACAATTTCTGCTACCTCTTCGCTAACGTGGCCGACCTAACAAAATACTCCTTCGCAGCAGACACCGAGATGTAAAATTAGAAAAAAAAACATTGTTGTAATTAAAAATGAAGGTTAGATTCAGTCAGTGTCACAGTCATTGTCACCCCCAGAGCGCTGGTTTTACCACACTGGAGTACTTAAATGAAGGAGAGTCACCATTAATTGTATTAGCACCACCTGTGCTGTTCTGAAAGGACTCATTTTTGACCTCAGACAGATCTTTGAGGGAATTACTGCCTCATATGAGCAAACTAGTATCTAAAAATATGTGTCTAACGTTCTGGGGCAAAAAGCTGAAAAAAGTAAACAACGCATAGAAATATTGTAAAACGAAAACCCCAATTAGAAATATATGTTCTGTTCAGAGAGAATAAAACTCTGAACTGATTTGGATTGAACTAACTGAAACTCTGCAGCTTTAAAATAACTTTGGAAAGTGTCAAAACAGCGAGTGCAAACGCTTCTCTGGACGGTCAAAGATGTGAGACACATTGCTAAACTCAGCTTGTCTAGCAGAAAATGTGGGTTTGTTTATTTCCTCAGCTGCATACAGACTTGACTTTGAAGTGCAATTGTTATTCTAGTCTAACCCTGCGGGAAACAATAAAAAGCACTCCCATAACTCCAATTTATAAGCTGTCAACCAAGTTGTGTCCGTGGCAAACTGAACTGACCTTTTTTTTCTTCCCTTAAATAAAGAGACTAAGATGCATCATTTTGTGTGTGTATGTTTTTACACATAGGACATAGGTTGCAGCAGTATATGCTCACACAAGATAAACACGTGTGTGAAGGAAGTACAATTCCTATAAGAACCTATGCAACCAAGAGGGAGACAATTAAAGCAAAGTGTTTTATAACCTTTTTTTATTTATTTATTTTGTTGGGTTTCTCAAATTATGTGACCTTGTGTCCACATCAACTAGGAAAGTACGAAGAAAGATAGGACAACATATTTTCCTTTAACAGCAAATAAAAGCAAATACTGCCAGGTATATCAATAAGATTTTCATTCGGGCAGGTAACAGTATACCTAAGTGGTTACCTTACATTAGGCTTGATTGGCACACAAAACAACGATTGCTTTTTTTATGCAATGTAACATTGTTTACTGTGCTGCCCTTAAACAAATAAAATTGAATGAATGAAAGTTTAAATCTTTATATTTTTTAGATTCAGATTAGAAACTGAGGTAATCTCAGGACTTCTGAATGTATTGGAGAAATATTTTTGGTAATCAAAACGTACTAAAATAAATTGAAGGAACTCTTCTCATACCATTTGGCACCTCACACACACACACCCACAAACGTAACATTGGAATTTTGCTAACTAACTTTTCGGAATACTTTTTCTCCTGACTGACGGACTCTTGGCTCGCAGCCTCAGTCTGGGTGCATGTTGGTTTGGCCTGTACTTGACCCGCACTTTGGCTGGATGGTTTTGGTTTTCATGAGGACAAAAGTTCACGTGAAAAATATTCATGTCCACTTAAAAATAAACCAGACCAAAGACAATCGATAAAACTCTGATAGCTCTGTGTACCTGTTAATACACACATAATTTTCCCAGATATGTAAAAATTACCCTAAAACATACGGAAATATTGTAAAATGTAAAAAATACAGCTCAACTCTGGTCTCTAAGAAACACAACACATGCTTGATTAATTTCCAGTCACAACCACTCCAAATAATACCAATGAGTTTGTGTTTGGATACAAAAATAAAATTACGGTAAATGTTTGTATTTTTTGATCTTCTTGAACACAAATACTTGTAAAAAATTGTTAGTTGTGAGCTGCAAAACACATCAGATAACTTGATACTACTGGACTAAATGTGACATAGCAAAAACAAAGCAATGTTTTATACAGGTTTATCTACAGACATGTCCAGACACTCTTAAAAACTTGACTGAAGCCTGAAGACAAGATATAAAATCTCCTATAGCTTCAAGTTAGCTGTCAATCAAAACCAAAAAAAAAAAAAAAAAGATGCCTTTACTTTGGAATCATAGCATCACGAATGTCTACAAGCATACCAGACCTATAAATAAATTTTTTTTTGCGAAAATAAAAATAAAAATAAAAACACCTGCCGGCTACAAGCTGATGCAACAACAATATGAACTGATTTTTCTGGCCAAAAAACAAGAACCTAACATTATGGAATGTGCACAGCAATCTTTTCATTATATATATCATTCAGACACAGAGACCATTTTAGTGTTTTTTTTCTTCACACTTTATGTTCTATAAGTGACATTTTATTAACAGCTACTTTTTTATCTAAAATTGTAAAATCTACAATTAAGACCAAATGTGCCTGATTTAAAGTACTGACCTTTAAACTGCGACAATCTCATTATCTTACATTGGAGTCGGTGAAGAAGAGTAGTCGGCCTTTCACAGGCTATCTCTGCACGTTTCTGGGATGTGTATAATTGTGAGAAATGATCAGATAAAACACTTTCAACTTACATGTTTTCTTCTCCAATGATACAGATAGCAGAAAGAATTTTGACAATCTCTGTCATCATGTTGGTCTGCCTGGGGTCAATTGCTCTAGCCAACAGCAACAAGCTCCTCTCGTCTCCCAAGATCCTTTGCAGTCCATACTGTGAAACACATGGAGATTAGGCAGAAAGAAGAAGTCCTTGGGTATAAATTAATGAGCATATTTGCATTCATAGAGAACTTTAACTTCAAGTAAATTATGAATTACACAAAAAAAGGCCTAATGTGGATGGTTATAGTTAGCCTTAATCTTGTTTTAAAAAGGGACAACGAGGCCATGGGGGAAAAAAGGCAAAATGATGAATTGATTCAATTCAGGACAGGACTACAGGGACATTTACTTATAGTCTCCTGTACCTTTCAGTCTCCCTACGACTGAAGGAGTGGGCTGAGATGACCACGTGTGGGGATTACCTCCACTCAAAGCAATATCAATAGTTCATCTAACCTTGAAATGCACATCACGTTTAAAAAATGAGTCAAACCTTTGTCAAAACGGATAATTAAAAAGTTTAAAGATTTTAATGATGAATTAGCTTTGCTTTACTTTTCAATTATCTTGTACTTGTCAAACACCAAATACAAATTAAGTTTAAAACCAAAGCATTACATATATTTGGTAACATTTTATAATAACTAGACCTTATTTAGCCTTACCTAATTATTATTAAACGGTTAGTTAACCTTGAAATCATCCTAATACTTAATAAGCTATAAATTAACATGTTTATTATTTTTGTATTTTTTGTATAAAAAAACATATTTAAATTCAGTAGAATAGACCATTCTCATCTTAGGGTAATTTAGTGGTTCTTCATGTAGATTTACTGACATTAAATGAGGTATGAAGTACCATTACTAGTGTTTTTATTCATTATTGACTCAGACAAACCTTATTGTTCATGAAAGCCTTCAAGCACTGAATCAGTTTATGCTGGATCCGTTTATCAATATATTCTTGCCTGAAAAACAAAAACAAAAACAATATGATTACATGAACAGAAACTGATAACAATAAATAGATAACAGAATTTATAAGATTTAACTCACTGTTTCTTATCCAGCAGCTTCTCCAGTGAATCCAGAAGAAGGCCAAGACCCTCATGTCCAAAGTTATTAACCCAACTGATAAAAAGAAAAGACAGAAAAAACATTAAGAAAAAAATCAATCTCCAGTCTATAGATTTGTTTCCCTCCATTAGTTCACTGTGAGCCATGCTGATTTAAAACAGAAAGCACACACAACAGCAGTGCATTAGTCTWGTGAGGGAATCTCTCAGACTAATATCAGAAGTTCCAAATGTAACTGCACATATTGTCTGTTTAAGGTCTTTTAGAGAACAGTAGCAAACTAAGTCATCTGTGTCCTCTCCTTGATACTGAATACAGTCCGTACCAGTTTGACTTTAAACTGCACCCATTTACACATAAATGAACACCCATCCATCCTAACCAATGTCCTCATCCCTAAGCTGTTTGTACTTTTATTTTACTGTGCCAGAAGATTAAGCAATGCAAGTAAGATAACACTGTAATCGATAATGGATCGAGAGAGATAATTGCCTATAAACCGCGGCATATCAGGAGACGGCAAATGATCCAGTGTAGATGAGCCTGTTTGTCTAAGACGTGAGGAAAGCCAAAAGGAGGGTGGAGGAAGGGACACAGTGGTCACAGTCAGATTATGCCATTAGCTTTACTTGTTTTCAGGCTCCTAACTGTCAATGACGCAAAATGCATGAAGCAATTTTGCCAGCATTAACGGGGCATAAGTCAATTATGTATCCCGCCTTTTTGACGATGATTTGAAATAATAATGGTTTGAGTATTAAAGCAGTTTGTATTGACTCAGTGAGTCGGAAGAGACCCTCAATTAGGAGAAGGATGCATTTGCCTGAGGGGGAAAAAAAGCAAAAATGAGGTGAGGCATTTCTTTAATCTGAACTAAATAAGAGGTACCAACAGCACTCCAGTCAACATTACTCAAATCTATCTCACAGACAAGCAAAGCCAATTTATGAGCTGTTAATAYGGATTTTGATGAATAATGATAAGTCACTGGAATAAACACACAACACCATATTCAGAAAGTCACCAAAGTGTTCCACCAAGAGTTTTCTCGTTTGATTTTTTCATCCCTTTAAGCATGTTCTTTACACATGCTGGAGGCCATGAAACTGAAGACAGAACAAATATTCTCAGTTTACAATGGAAAAGACAATACAGCTGGATATGTTTGTGATGAAGAAGTGGGACAACAGAGAGAGCATTTTAGGCTTTACAAAAAAAAATACCAAAAAACAAAGTGTATACTAGTACATGTAGGCTGTGTAACTTGCTTTAACATCGTCTCTAGAAAAAATATTTAAATAAACTTAAAAAAGAGATAATTCATCAAATCTTGCTAGTAGTTTGGGTGATCCTAAGAAGCAAGTATATGGTTTAAAAGCCAGCTCCTAGTTTGCATCCTCTGTAATATAACCGGGCATGCAAAGAAGAGGGGCAGAGATAATCCATGCTGTAATTTTTATTTTCATCAAAATACGTAAGTCTTGCTGCAGGTTGCAACATAATGCTTTCCACCTCAAGGTTTTCAATGCACTAAATATTTTGAGTCCTCTCTACATCCCAGCCTGCTCGTGATTTTCTGTCCCCTCCTGCACGCCTTAAGGTGCTTTTCAGCTTGCCTTCGACATGCCCCAAAAGTTACCACAAAAATGAAATAARAAAAGATGCTACATCTACAGCATTTGTCCTGAAGCTGTTAAACACTACCACTTACTTTAGTAAAGAAACTGACTCAAGAAACAGCAAACATTTCTGAACACAAATGTCACTTATAAAAAACAAACAAAAAAAAAAAAACATTTCTTCCAGCTGATGAGCAGCGTTGATTATATTAAGATAGAACTATTATATGGCTTATTCAATCACTCTGCCTTTGATTTTTAAATCAACAGAGCAGCAAAATCTCATATGACCCAGAATTACGGAAATAAAATAAATAAATAAAATAAAAAAATTAAATCCCTACCCAATCAGTCTGTTCCCCTAATTCGAGGATATATTCAACAATTTTATTAACTTAGGGGAGAACTCGTTCATGTAATATTTATGGCCTTAATCCCCTACTTAAGTGCCACCAAAATGCATTACTTTCTGCAATCATGTATATTCCCCAGGCAAAATATAAAATTAATCGTTGGTTAAAGACAAGGAATCCCTTCCCTTTTTTATTTCTTTTTTTTTTTTTGTTATTTCTGCTGGTTTTACAGAATTATGTAATTGTTAGATTAACTGTGACAAATTGTAACCATCAAAGTTTAAAACTGTTACTTTGTAAAACAAGTATATAATTAACAAAATGTGTACAAAAATATTTTTAATAAAAAGAAAAAAACAAACGTTTCACAGTTCTGTTAATCAAAACCCCATTATGTTGGGTATAAGCATTGCTTGTACTTTAGATGATTTTTTCTGTTTGTTTGTTTGCAATGCAGAAAATGTCTTGTTGAATTATTTTGTTCTAAACCAAAACAATGATTCTAAGATATGTGGGATAAAATTAATTGCAATTACCATTAGGTAGATTGACTGCAGGAGAAAAAATGTTTAGTAAAAATGGTAAAAAACCGAGCCACAGTAAAAGGTTTGGAGCAAGCATGTGCAAATGTGAATTATTTAACACAGTGGTACCCAATCCTGCTCCTCGAGGGCCACTATCTTGCATGTTTTAGATGTTCCTCTGCTTTGACACACCTGATTTGAATGAATGAGTGATTAACAAGCTTTTGCAGAACTTGAAGACATACCTAAGAGCAGGGAAACAACTAAAACATGCAGGATAGTGGCCCTCGAGGGCCAAGACTGGGCACCACTGATTTAACACAATGTAGACAGGAGAGGTTTTACACAGCTAGTAAAATAAAATTTAAAAAAAAAGTAAAACTAAGAACGGGTATTTGGTGCAAAAGCCTTCAGTTACCACATTAAGAGATCAATGTCCCACTCAGTTCTTTCCAGTTTGGTGTTTAATGCCTTGCTCAAGAGAACAAAATGTGAAGAATGCTAACGCTATGAAATAAACACATTTTAAAGAAGATAGAGAAAACATAAGTATGCTTAAATAGAGGGTAAAATATGAAACTGCTGACAACTAAACGGCAACAAAATATGAAGGTGTCTAATTTTCTCACCTCTGGTTTGTCTATTTAGAATACTTCCATAAGAATTGAATTCAGTCTTAAATCAAAAACAAATWGATATTTGAAACGTGATCAGAGTTTGATGATGAGCTTTAAGAAAACCTTAAGGTCATACATTATGTTTTACACTGCTCTACAGAATCAGCTATTTCAGTTTTCATCTGCAACAACTGCATTTTTTTAAACAAAGCACCCTGATTCAACAGAAGAAGACCCAAGTAAAGACTTTAGAACAATAGGAAAGAGAAAAAACAAAAGGAAACTTATTACCTAAAAATTAGCAATGTAAGGGCAGGATCAGTCAAAAATCCAAACAACAGTAATACATGTGCAAGCTGACAAGAGAGCAGTGAAGGAGCTCAGGGGGGCCGTATTAGCAAACTTCTTAGAATGGAATTTTAGACTTAAGTGCTGAAAATTTCTTAGATTTCCTCCTACTTCCAGACTTAAGTGTAAAAGCAASTTACCAAAATTCTTGTCTAACAATCACTCTTACTCTCCCGAAAAGTTAAGACTGCTCCAGAGGACTCTTAAGTGGTYATAAGAGTTGCGACTAGGGGGTCTGAGATGGACTGAGAAGACAGAGATCATAGCTGTGTCCTCCTCAAGAATACTCTGCACCACCTCAGAAACTGCACTAAGTGGTCAGTTATAACGTACAGAGGAACTATGATAAGGTGTGGAAAACAGGTTTAGTCATCAATACAAAAGAAAGAAGGTGAGAAAAAAGCAATTACCACTGCCATAATGTTGGACTAAAAGATGGACACGGTTTGAGCATTTTTTTATTATCACAAAAACAATAAAAGTATTTGGAATGAACCTAAAGGAGTCTGTTCTTCTTTATTTTCTGCCACTGCTAACTATAAACCATAAACAAAAGTATAATGTGACCTGTATATTGAACAATGCATGTCTTTTGCAACATGGATTCTACATCAAAAAGACCTAATACGGCCTTGAAAATGGTCACTTTTGTCTGTATAACTACTTAAAGGTTGTGGGCAGCTGGTGCCCAACTCCAGTCTTTATTGAGTGAGAGGTGGGGTACACTCTGGACAGGTCACCAGTCCATCAGGTTCTGTTCCAAAAYATGAAATAGTAGGAAAGATTTTAATATCATGTTGACAAGCTCTGAACAGAACCATATTACAGAAAAACAGGAACCTCTACACCTTCTTAATGTCAGAAAAAGCAAAAGGAAACTATACTGAAAGATATACGTGGAAAGGCTTTTTTATATATAAAAAAGTTTCACATATTTTGACACTTATTTTTAAATAAAGTTGACAGTTACATTTATAAAAAAAAACGTCCATGAAACTACTAAAACCTTCTGTGTATCCAGCGTATAAGAAAGTGTGGGTGGGGGAAACCACTGGCATGAATTATTGAACTGTGTTGTTTCTAAAGGAGAACAACAAGCAGCAAATATGTTTCACATGTAACTCCAGCTAACATGAGCTCTCTCCACCCATGCTGTCTCTCTGCTTGGCTCTACTAATAATATCTCAGGTCTCTTGCTCCTGCTAGCTGGCACAGATCTTTAACGTAATGTTTCACAGCGGTGCACATGTAATGGTGSGCTGTGCAGTTTGAGATACTAGATTCTCTGAAACTTATTTTTCATACGAATATAACAAGAAACTTTATTGGGTTACAGCAAAGAAACCTTTGCAGAACCAATTGGGGTCATTCTGTTGCTTGATATTGGTGCTAAGGCAAATAATGCAGCCTCAGGACCATATAGCTGGTGTCAGCACTCTGCAAATGTGATTCTGGGTGCTATCCAAGCAAACGCAGGAACCGCAGCAGCTCAGTACTCAAAAGTAGCACTCTGAACTTCAAGTAATAACATTTTGATTTCAAAATGTGTCTTTAACAAAGACTAAGAAGCTCCRGTACAAATCATTGCGTGCT